GGGACACAGCCAGGAAGGCGTGGGGACATGGCAGGGATTGGGGAAATGGAGGGGACACGGCAGGGGGGACGTTGGGGACTTGGGAGGGACATGGCTGGGACAGGCATGGGGACAGGGATGAGGATACAGGGACATGGAAGGGGACAGGGGGACCTGGTAGGGACATGGCAGGTGCACACTGAGACACAGTGAGGGGACATGGGGAGGATCTGAGGACACGGAGGGGACACGACAGGGTTGGGGTGGGGACAGAGGGGACAGGGATGGGGACATGGCCAGGAGAACGCGGGGACATGGTGACACAGCTGGGAAGGTGTGGGGACACGGGGACATGGTGGGGGACATGGGAGGACAAAGTGACATGGGGAATGGGGCTGGGGACAGAACAGGGACACACTGGAGACATACCGGGGACACACTGGAGATAGGTGGGGGACAGAATGGGGATACATTGGAGACAAGCGGGGAAAACATTGGGGATAGGTTGGGGACACAGGAGGGACAGGCTGGGGACACACTGGGAATAGGCTGGGGACACAGTGGGGACATGCTCCTCACATCCACAGCCTGGGTGAAGTTCAGGTGGCACATCAGGATGGTGACCAGCTCCCCAGGGGTGATGGTCCCCGCAGCCACCAAGCGTTCCCCCCCAAGGAGCAGTCCCAGCTTCATGAGCAGCGGCGGGAACTGGGGACATGGGGACACAGGGTCACATGGGGTCACCCCAGCCCCATGTCACTGTGTCCCCCAGTCCCATGCCACCATGTCCTTGTGTCCCCAGCCCCCTGTCACCATATCTCCCATCCCTGTGCCACCCATCCCTGTGTCCCCATGTCCCCTGTCTCCATATCCTCTATCCCCATAACCCCATGTCCTCATGTCCCCCAGCCCCCTGCCACTTCAATCCCATGTCCTCTGTCCCCCAGTCACCCTGTCCCCATGTCCCTCAGTCCCCTGCCACCCTGTTCACCAGCCCCGTGCCACCTTTCCCTGTGTTCCCTGTCCCCATGTCCCCATCCCCATGCCACCACATCCAATGTCCCCTATTACAATGCCACCCTGTCCCCATGTCCCCCAGCCCTGTGCCACCCCTCTGCATGTCCCCTATCTCCGGATCACCATGTCCGCATGTCCTCTGGCCCTTTGCCAATACACCCAACATCCCCATCCCCATGTCCCCATGTCCCTGGGCCCCCTGCCACCTTGTCCTCACCCCTATTCACCCTTACCCCTATCCACCCACACCCCCATTTTCCCCATTCCTGCGTCCCCCATCCCCATGTCCCCATCCCCCTGCCACCATGTCCTCCGTTTCCATACCACTGTTCCTCCTCCCCTGTGCCCCCATCCCTGTGTCCCCCCAGTGTCCCCATACCCCGCTGGCCCAGCGCGCGGCCCCATAGGCCAGCGCCTCCCCACACTCCAGCTGGTGGCCGTGGCTGAGGCGCTGCTGGACACGTGCGGTCACTCCGGCCTCGTGTCCAAAGGCCCGGACAGTCCTCAGGGCCCCCAGTGACTCCACAGCCACCGCGGTGGCACCAGCCAGTGCCGCCCGCGCCTGCCGCGCCAGGTCCTGGGGACACACGGAACAGGGGGTCACCACAGGGTTGGAGGGCACAGAGGGTGGACAGGGCGGGGACAGGGAGGGGACAGGAGAGTCACCAGAGTCACGAGGGGGTTACAGAAAACACACGGGGGTTACACCGGAGTCACTGCAGGGTCACTGCATGGGATCATGGGGGGACAGAGAGGGAACAGGGGGTCACCCTGGGGACAGGGAGGTCACCTCGAGGTCACCATGCAGATGGGGAGACAGGGAGGGCACAGGGGACAGAAGAAGGTGACAGTGGGCATTGGGAGGTGACAACAGGCACCAGGAGGGGACAGGAGGGACTTGGACAGAACCCAGGGACGTGACAAGGGGCCTTGGGAGGTGACATAGGGCACAGGGAGGTGACCAGGGGTGCAGAGAGGGGACAAGGGGCCCAGGGAGGTGATATGGGCTGCAGGGAGGTGACAAGGGGCCCAGAAGAGTGACCAGGGGTGCAGGGACAAAGGTACAGGTTACAAAGGGAGGTGACAAGAGGCCCAGGGAAGTGATGAGGAGTCTGGAGAGGTGACGAGGGGCCCAAGGAGAGGACAGGGGGTGCAGGGAGGTGACACTGGGGACACAGACATGACAAGGGGCCAAGGGAGGTGACAAGGGACCCACAGTCCCTGTGCTCCTCTTGGTACCTGCTGGATGCGCGCGATGGCACGTGGCAGCAGCAGGAGGAGGGGCAGCACCAGGAGGGTGACCAGGGCCAGCAGCGGGGCCAGCGAGGCCATCACAGCGAGCAGGGCCACGGCCCGGGCCAGCGCCCACAGCGCCGGAACCACCGCGTCGGCCAGTGCCGCGTGCGCCGCCTCCGCGTCCCCCGTCACCCGTGCGGCCACCGCGCCCGGCGTGTCCCCCAGGCTGCCCCCCGGGCCAGGCACGTCCCCCCGCAGCACCGCGGCCACCGCGCCACACTGGAGCCGCGCCCGCGCCCGCGTCAGCGCCACGGCCGCTGTGCCATCACAGGCCAGCTCGGTGAGGGCACTGCGGGGACAGTGGGGTCAGGGGGCACCGCGGGGCATCGCCGCCCCAGGGTGTCCCCCCGGCCCTGCAGTCACCCACCTGCCGAGCCCCAGCACCACCAAGGGCCACACGACCACCGACGCATCCTCCTGTGTCACCTGGTCAGTGATGTGGCCCGTGAAGTACGGGCCTGCCACCTCGCCTGTGGGGACACCCCAACAGTGGGTGGGGAGCCCCCGACTTGGGGGCTGAGCCCCAAGAAGTGGGTACTGACCACTCTCAAAATTGGGAGTTGAGCTCTGAAATTGGGTCCTGACCCTCTCCATTGCGGGCTAAGACCCCAAACTTGGGGGTTGAACTCCCAAAATTGGGTCCAGAGAACCCAAAGTTGGGTGTTGACCCCTGAAAATTGAGTGCTGACCCTCCAAATTGGGTCCTGACCCCCTAAGCTTGGGTGTGGGGCCCTGCAAAATTGGGTGTTGAGCCCCGAAATTGAGTGCTGATCCCCCCAATATTGGGTCCTGGCCCCTAAAATTGGTTGATTGCCCCATCTGATTTGCACCTGACCTCACACAACTGAACCCAAAATTGGGTGCTGAACCCCCAAAATTGGGTCCTGACCCCCCAAAATTACGTGCTGATCCCCCACGTTGGGTAATGGCCCCCCAAATTGGGTCCTGCACACCTAAAACTGGATGTGTATCCCTGAAAATTGGGTGTTGAGCCCTGAAATTGGGTCCTGATGCCCCTAAATTGAGTGGTGACTCCCCAGTGGACCTGCACTGCAAAATGGGCTATAGACCCCTGAAAAGTGGGTGTTGAACCACTAAATTGAGTCTGACTCCTTAAAGTTGGGTGTCACCCCCCAAACTGGGTCTTGACCCCTGAAAATTTGGTCCCGACCTGCCAAAATTGTCTCCAAAATGGGTCCTGACCAGTAAAAATGTGTTCCGACTGCCCAAATTGGTTTCCGCTCCCCCAAAATTGGGTCCTGCCTCCCCAGAATTGGGTCCTGACCCCTCAAATCAGGCCCTGTCACCTCCCAGAGGGGTCCTGCCCCCCCACATATTGGGTCCTGACCCACCAAATTGAGTCTCGACCCCCGAGTTGGGTTCTGACCCC